TCACCAACAAGGAATTATGGGAACAAACAAAGCAAGAACCAATCGCCAACCAACAAATATGCAGTAGAAAGTGGAGATGGATTGGACACTCACTGAGGAGACCGCTAGGTGACATCGCGCGTCAAACCCTCTAGTGGAACCAGGCCGAAAGGGAAGCGGCGTGTGGGACGTCAGTGCAAGGGTGACATGGAGGAGATCGTGTGAAGAGGAGTTGAAAGAATATGGACTAACATGGATGCAGGCGAAAAGTACAGCAGAAGACAGAAGCGGCAAATGGAGACGTGCAGTTGAAGCCCTATGTTCCACTAGGAACCAAACGGAGCAATGATATAATAGTAATAATAATTCATTCACTATAATGTATGTATAAATGTAGAGCCTGATGATAATTTGGTTTTGGTACATATCTGTAGCTGTTCATAGTCTGTTCCTCTAGACAAAAGCCATTTGACCGTCTTAGGATTTGTTTATTCAGTCAATGAAGTGTCAAATTCATTATTTTTATTATTACGTGTATTCTACACTAGCAGAATTGTGGTTATTAGTCCTTGTTATAGCTAACCTGAAAAACTATTCACTCTGGTCTGAACTCCGGAAACTGATGTCTGCATCCTATTGTATTATTATTTTTATTATTTTCTCCTTTAGTTCCTAGAGGAACATAGGGCTTCAGCTGCCCACCTCCATTGCCTTCGGTTTTCTGACAAATTTTCACCCCGCTCCAAGTCTGCCCACATGCTTTCATCTCCTCTTCACATCACCTCCTCCAAGTCACCCTCACACTGACGACCGACTCGCCACCTGCTTCCCTTTCGGCCAGGTTCCGCTCGAGAGCTTCTCTAGTGATGTCATTCACTTGATGGTTTCCTCAGAGTATGGCCAGCCAATCCATCTCCATTTCTTCCTGCCTATTTGTTTCACAATCGGTTCCTGCTGTGTTGGTTCGCTCATTGTCAGAGATCCCTGTTACTGATCTTTTCTGGCCGGCCAGCCGTCTGATCTTGAGTAGTATTGAACGAAGACAACTGTTGATGAAGGTCTGAATTTTGTTTGAGATGCTCTTTATGACGCGCTGGCCAAGTCTCTGATCCGTATAGTGAGTAGCACTGACTGACTTTACATTGGAGTTGAAAATCCGGATCTTATTTTTGATGCTGAGTGATGTTAACCCCCACATAGACTTAAGAGTAATGAAAGCTTGTCTTGCTTTTCCGATCCTCGCTGCTTTGATATCCTCGTTAGTTCCGTCCGCCAGTAGTTGAGACGATGCTTCCCAGAAAGGTGAAGGATGTTGTTTCTTTCAGGTTCCTCCCATTTATGCTGGCTGATTGTTGTCTGTTGTTGTCGCTGTGGCTGTTGATGTTGGCCAGGAATCTTCATCACCTACCTGTGTTTTATCTATTTTCACTTGAAGTCCTATCTTGTGCCAACTTGTTGCTTTTCACTTGCATATCTTCCTGTTTGTGGGAAATCAGACTTATGTCATCATCGGCGAAGTCCAGATCCTCCAAGTCCCTTTTTGTGTGAGTCGATTTTATGCCTGTTCCCTCGTTGGTTGCCGTTGTCTGTCGCATTATCCAGCCTACTGCAATCAGGAAGATCATTGGTGATGGTAGACTGCCAGCCGACTTGTCTCACTCCCGTCCTCACTTCGAAGGCTTCCGTAAGTTTCTTGTTGTGGATTACTTGTCATGCAGCATTGTCGTACAACTAACTGTTGGATGAGATGTATAATTGTCGATGGCCCCCCTTTGGTAGTAACGAAGTAGTTTCCAAATCACCTCTCGATCGACGCTGTCGAAGGCCTTTTCAAAGTCGATGAAGTTGAGTGAGATAGAGAGGTGACTGCCATTCCAAGCTTTGTTCAATGATGATTCGTAGAATGACGATTTGATCAATACATGACTTGTTTCTCCTGAATCCGGCCTGTTCCGGTCGAAGTTTTTCATCCAGGTCGGCTTGTTTGATTCTCCCCAGGATGATGCGGCTTAGTATTTTGCTTGGAATGGACAGAAGCATAATTCCACGCCAGTTTTTCCATTGACTTAAGTCTCCTTTCTTTGGTAGTTTGAATAAGTATCCGTTCTTTCAATCCTCAGGTACTTTTCCCTCTTTCCACACCTTCTCCAGCAGTGGTGTCATCAAGTCCGCTGTTGTCTTTGGGTCTATTTTCAAAGCTTCTGCTGGGATTCCATCTGGTGCTGCTGCTTTTCCGGTTTTTAGCATCTTGATTGCATTTAGGACTTCTGATTTCATCGAGGCGTCGATGATCACTGGTAGCTGATACAAACTTCCTTGAGATGCACACGCACACACACACAGAACCAAACAAACACACTCCAAAGAACACACAAAAAGACGATCATTTTAGTTTTTGGAATCTCTATATGGCCATCTAATAATAATAATAATGGTAATAATGATAATAACATATCCAAAGACTTAAAATTACCTTAGGGCTGCTGTCTGTCAGGCAGCTAGCTACACACTGTCAAGAGAAGAGTATTCTTATAGTAAAAATCCAAGCAGGGTAGGATAGAATTAGTTAGTCAAAATTCAATATCTATAGAAGTAACTGAGTATCAAGGTGGTATGTTGGAGAAAATTTGTGACTCAGGCGGGTGATTTTGATGTGGTTGTGGTCTCTGAACTTGTTCAATGGTGGTTTATTTAATTTTAATAATAATATTAATAGCTTTATTCCAAAAAACAGTACTAATGATACAGCAAGGAATTTTCAGCATTCAGTACAATATTGCATCTAATTTACTCGAAAACGACACAACAAAAAATTATAAATACACATTACGTAATAATAATAATAATAAAACGATTGTTATAGCAGCTACATAGCAAAATACTGTATGCAATACGGTGAAAAATATGCATAAAGTATAAAACTGTAGTAATAATAGTAATACCAACTAAAATAAAATAGTAGAGTAATAATTAAACGACAGGAAGTGTGATACCATAAAATACAGAAAGATGATGAACGATGAAAGGGTGGATTCAGTGTGCTAATTACATAGTAACTTATGTGTTTCACGTCTAACAGAGTCTTCGTCATATAAAGTACGGACTAAATAGGGTATTGTAGAATTTCTGTACTTAGTGGTGCGAGCATATAACTTCTAACTTATATTGACTTCTCGTCCTACCTGATAAGATACAGGGGGATAGGTGTGAATAAACGGGGTGCATAGGGTCTGACAGTATAGCCTTTGCCCATTTTGTATAGGAATTTATATGCCTCTCGACTATAGTATTGGCGAGCTCATTCAGTGACAGACCAGAAGCCCTACTCACAGCATTCAATAAATACCCTTCGTAATATGCTATAATCTTTTTTGAGAAGCCCAGGAAAGATTAATGGAGAGCAATAGAGTAGGTACAATAGGTAAAATACAGGAGTTTAAAAATTGTAAAACTAAAGGTTGGTTGATACCTGATTGTCTTAACTTTTTTTAAATGTAGAAGGTAAGACGAAACATTTTCTTAGAGATAGATAAGGTGATGTGTGATGACCATGAAAGGTCTGAAGAAAGAACTTTCATCATCAAGCTTTCATCATTGCTCTTCTATTTAGCAGGCAATATCTTCACCGCGCATACTTCAATTTGAATATCTCTACGAGTTTATTAGTCATTACCTCTAGTGGGTGGGTGGGGGTGTTGATTATTTTATGTTGACACCTGAATTTTGACCCTTTGTGTGTGTGTGTGTGTGTGTGTGTGTGTGGTGTGTATGAGGTTTCCTACTTATCTATTGGTAAATTCTGTGTGTTGTCTATGTGTTGCACACAAATCAATAAAATCAATTAACTCAAGCTGGTTCTGTGTCATCAGAGGACAGACCCAACAACGAAAGAAGATAAAAAATTAACATCAGTATCTACAAAAATAAGTTGCAACAATTGGGAAAAACACTACATTGGCCGAAGTGGACAATGTCCCCTTCTTCTTCGTATCGATGAACATGAACTAGACATCCAAAGACATGATATTCACTCCATCATTCATATCACCACACTACATACAGACAACTACAAATATCAATTCGACTGCTGGACAACCAGTGTTCAAATATTAGCCTTTTTATCGACTCCTGCGTCTACCTGAACACATTTGTTTGTCTAATCATGTTGTTTTTCGTTATTCTGGTTATCACAGATCGCCTCACTTTTCATCCTTATGTATTGAGTAATTGTACAATTTATGTGCATAGTCTTATTATCCCATAGACAAAACACCATGTAGGGATTTAATTGATTGGTTACAGGATTTCATCATGAGCTGACATTGATTGGAGAACCATTGGAAAACCATCTAGGAGTACTGGACAACTGTTTCGATGAGCTGAGTATCGATTAGATGCTCACTAGCGATTGACTTTATTCATGTACGTAGTTACCTAGGTTCTAGTGAGAAGTCGTGACCAGTAGGGTGCAGCAGGTCGGGGTGTGAAGACAAATACTCGCCAGCGAAGACATTGGCTAGCAATTGCGCTATGTCGTGAATCGGCAGAAGTTAGAATTCATGAACTGGTCATTGGGTCGGGCCTGAGTGGTTTAATGGTCTCCGAGCTCACTCGCCTTGTAACCAGAAGGTGACCCTGGGTTCGAACCCCCGTTGTGGGTATGTACTTATGAAGAGTCCCGGACTAGGACGAAACAGTCGCCCAGTACTCCCAAGTGGTTTTCCAATGCTTCTCTAACAAATGATTGGTTTATATTTGAAGTTTTATCTGTAAAATTATATGGAAGCATATTAGAGTTAAGTTCAGACGATGAGTTCTATCTAATTGAAAGCACATTATCACTCTTCGCTTACATCTCTGTGTTGTTCTAAAGTTTACAAATTAGTCTAATTCTCATTCGATGCTCAATTCGTTTTTTTTTGGGGGTGGGGTGGGGGTGGAGCTATCCTGTAATTTCTCGTTTACACAACAGCTCACATGAACAATAGGATACATCAATACAAGCCAAAATATCAACTCACATGAGAAGAATTTCCAATATTATGAATGTTATCGCTGTTGGCCGGGTGTGTTGTTGATCCAGTCGACAGCACAAAAACAAGTTTCATATAAAAATCCTCACTGAATAAAATATTTCATATGTGTAGTCATATATGTATACTGAACACATTGACAATTATGATGGGCAATATACAAACAAAGAGATATTTAAGTTTATTTTATACTGTGGATTACTTTAAACGAGACAGTGTTTTTGTGTGAAATAGTCTTTTTTTCACAGTCGTACTTCTACGACGACGTCTTGAATCACTTGATGCATATCTCTTGTTCAAATCACTACGGAATTATTATTATTAGTAGTAGTAGTCGCAATACCAGTCATGTTATTACCTCACACACACACACACAGACGCACATATAATTATAAATGTGTTTAAGGCACAGACATCCAATCACGTAGTAGACAAAATGTACCTAAAAATTGTATCATTCTGTAATGATATGTGCTTCTTAGTAAATAGTGTGTATACCTCATTTACACATAAACACATACATACATACAGTTTTCGCCTGTCTGCATTATTTTTCACTGTTGCCTTAGTAGTGAAAATATGAAGTTTTTGCACACATTTGTTCTATCTATATGTTCTTCTGTGTGTGTGTGTGCGTGTCTCTGCGTCTGTGTGTGTACGTGTTTGCGGTGGCTTGTAGGTGCAATGAATTCTATTCACATTGATTAGCTTATTTGTAAAAAAAATATGTATTTTTTTTAAAAAAAAGCACAATTTCCTGACGAATGTTTTTGTTTCATTTTTTGAATTGTAGCGCTCTTACAGATAATTCCAGTGTGTGATTGGAATTCAGTCGTTGAAGAAATCAGCTGATTAGTGATACTTTTTAAGGAATTTTCCCTTAGTCTTGTAAAGAAAAATTGAGTTTTTATGTTGACTTCTCCTCAGCTGCTTACAGCCTAAATAAATTTTGAGGTTTATTTCGGCTGTAAGCAGCTGATGAGAAGCCAGCGAAATAAACAACGACGGTATCATGTTATTCTGCACAAACCACTGTTGTATTCTCGATTTATTCAAATTCATCAAGGGGAATAAATGCATGAAGTTTTTATGTTGATCTACACCTAGCTTATTCAACGGCTGGCTGGTTATATGGCATTGAGACCAGGTGACAAGTGGTCCACTACGGAAAACTCAACGAGGCGTTCTAGGCGAATACAGGAGTAAGACAAGCTGACTGCCTGCTAACAGTGATATGCGTCTGACTGGTTGTTGGTAGCGAGGAGAGAGGAGTACGCTGCATTGGCCGGTGAGAAGACTTTAGAAGATCAGGAGACTGATTGAAAAGGCTGCCCGGCAGCGAAGACAGGACTCCAGGTGAACATAGAGAAGGCGTCAGACGGAGGTGATGAAGGTAACCAACCACCGCCAACAGCAACAACAACCAGCACCAATCATCATCAATGGTAGACATTTGACAGAGGTTACTTTCTGCTTTCAATTGTTGAACAAGAAAGCACAGTTTCAACCACAGGTTAGCCAGCTAGCTACTCAGTCACAGTCCTCAAGACAAGCAAGATACGTCCCCATTAAACCTCAAACCGATTTGGAAATCTTCTACACTCCTCGTTATAAGGAAAAAGATTCGGATTCTATTCAACATCAGTGTGAAGTCAGTCAGTCAGTTTTTCTATACGCGGGTCAGGAACTTGCCCAAAGTGTCATGAAAAGCATTTCCAACAGGCTACTGCAGACTTTTATGAACAGCTGCCCCTTTCGCTGGCTGACTGGCTCCGTAGTGAAGATCAAATGGCCAGCTGGTCGGCCGATACCCAGAAAAAGTTAGCAATAAGAAGCTCTAGCAATGAACGAATCAACCAAGAGCCACCGATGATTGCTCAGCAAATATGTAGAAGAGAAAAAAGAGATGAACTGGTCAGGCATACGTTGAGGAGGCAGGCCGTCGAATGGAGATATCCTGAGAAGTTTATTTGATAAATACTCTAAAATTAATGACCCCCTGAAAAACTATTCAAACAGTTCCGAAGAAATCTGTCTATATATTTATTTGCCATTCAAAGGAGATGACGTACAAGAGGTAGTCAAATGAAGACTCTGTAAAGCCATCAAGAGAACTTATTATTTTGCACAACTCGTGTTCCTTAACATCACCATTTGGGTGCTTCAACAATTCGGGAAAGACCAGTATTCATCAATCCTTGACACTTCAAACTGCGTATGTCAGTCTGGGTGTGTTTTGGGAAGCAAATGCATAGGTCGTAGGTAAATAAGTGAGATTGCCAACTGGCATGATAGGGCATTTACCAAAGTGGTTGAACACAGCTGAAGTCAACATGCCATAAAGGTCAATAATAAATCATCTTGTGGACTACAGGGCCATAATATCCACGTGCTGTCAAGTCATTCCCTGTTATCACTGGGCAGACAAAGAAATAGGAAGATGCTTGCAACTATTCTGGAGGAGGCTTGTGCAGTTCGAGTTTATAAACCAGGCTTTTCTGTGCGTACAAAAGCAGATGGTCGTCACTCTGAATCTACTATGGTAATACGTTTTACTTGCGGACTGTTATTATTAATATTAATGACACTTTATTCTACCTCTTATTATCATTATTATTATTATTATTGATTCATTTAAAACTATCTTTTATCAGTAGCAGTATCTTAAGTCATTTCAACGCTATTACTATTATTAGTATTACTCAGTTTGCCGTTCTTGAGATATTCAAGTCCTTTATTGAATTGAATTTTTGATTTTCCCGTCGATTGATTGGACAGAAGTGCTCCTTAGTCTCAGGTTGACATGTCGGCTTCTTGTGCAGATGCTTCGGCGATGTCTGAGCATTTAATCAGTATACAACTGGTGGATGGTGGCTAGCAGTGGAATCCAGGATGCGCATTTCGTCCTATTTGAGACTCGTCAGCTGGGTGTAACTGCATTTCTCAGTGAGTGATGATGTTCCAACTGAGGCTCGAACCCAGTGCCCATAGTTTCAAGCGCCAAAGTGTTATCAGTGGGAACATCATCACTCACTGAGAAATGCAGGTACATCCAGTGGCTGACGAGTCCCAAATAGGACGAAATGCGCTTTATCCTGGATTGTACTGCTAGCCACCATCCACCAATTGTATACTAATTCAAGTCCTTTGTCAAATGACTAATTGTTTATCTAAGTGATATAAATGAACCGTAATGGATTTTATCTTAATTTTGAGCCTCGCATACTCCCTTCACCCACTTATCTATTTGAGCATGACCTGAAAACATTTACACATGTGTTGTTTCGCATGACTGATTCAATGTAGTTTATTTGCTTATCAGATCTTATATCTCCTAATGTATTTCCAACGGTATATATATATATATATCCTTGTATGTAGAGTAGTATTCTGCCGATGTTTGGCTGTGAAAGGAATGCTGAGAAAATGTATTGCACTGATTAGGACGCTCTATTCTACCTCATGCAGCCAGGTAAGAGCTTACGGTGAGCAGTCATCTGATAACTATGGTGACAACTAGTGTTGTCCGCCAGAAATGTCCACGATCCCCATTGTTATTCAATTTTCTCATAGATGTACCAATCGAATTAACTCCAACTAACTTCAGAGACTCGGGGATTGACTTGTCACCATCAGGGAATAATCCCGTTGACTTAGAATATGCAGATGATTTAGTCCTCCTATATGGTGAAGACGTTGGTTGACAAAATGCACACAGGGTCTTCTGAACACCTTGAGCTGCAATCTGAGAATGTTCAGCATGTGGATTGGCTCCTACTGTTAAATGTAAGGTGATGAGGCTACAGGACTGACTGGACTACATTGTCTCCTAGCTTAGAGGTTGGGGGAGTGAAGTGATAGAGTATATTGACCAAGTCACTTATTTGGGAAGAAGCATCAGGCCAGCCAACATCTGATGAAATCTCACCTGGGTACAGATATAGATGGCTCATTTGGCATATATGCCATTTTACCCCGTCTCTGGGTTAGTAGACGTGACATCTGGCTGGCCATCGACGAAAGGACCTTTGTACTGCTCAGCATTCCGCTCAATCCTCTTTTATGGCAGTGAAACCTGGCCATTAAAACAAGGGAAGACATGAAAAGGCCAGCTGTCTTTGATCATACATGCCTGCGTTCTACCTCCTGTGTGAAGTGGTATAATAGGATGGGGAATATTGAGTTTAGGCGTTGGTCGAGTGCAAGGTAGGTAGGTGGGAGGTGAAATCAGTCGACTAGGCTATAAAGAGTTTACGTCGATTGGGCGAGATGGTTAAGACATGTGTTACGTATGCATGACCAACCATCGCCTTCCTCGACCAGCAATGTTTGCTAACATAGGATGCATCAGTTAGGGGTGGTCAAACCAAAACATGACTTCATCATGAGTCAATGAAACCCACACCAGTTAGTTGAAGTCACATATGGAGGTGTGGACTTCCTGACAGGTTGAGGTCCTCAGGACGGTAAAAACCAACGAAGGCTGAAGACAGTTGGTGATATGGCTCAAACTCATCGTTTTCAATGGCGTAGATGCATCCGTTCCTCCATATAACAACTATTCTTTTTGCCTCATATCTGTGTTTATTGCCTTTGTTTTGCATTTCTTTTTACTTTCTTTCATTGCTTTGTGTTTGCTAAGTGAAGTGTGGTGACTTGAAGTCATGCTGTACATCGTGCAAAGTTCTACATTTTGGAACCAATGAGTCAGTCGGAGAAGTATTCAACTGACGAAGAGTTCCACGGAAATTCAATGAATTCATTAAATCCTGCTCTTTATTAACAACAAACTTTGTTGTTGGATTAACTTTTGAATTAACTTCCTCGATATTTGTCGTCTGAAACGAAAAGAATAACCATAAAACCGTCTGAATCAGTTGAGATTTTTAAACTTCTATCCCTGTCAACCGCATAACTGATGTCAGCTTATGATTAAGCTTGAAACATTGATTGATTTCAGGATTTCGTCACGAACTGACATAGGTCAGAGAACCATTGGAAAACTAGCTGCAGTGTACTGAATAGCTATCTTTGTTGTCCTAGTTTGAGATGGCCTCTTCATCAGTAGGCACCCACCCGAATGAAGTTCACATATATAGACCTCTCAGGTTACAGGGGCAGCTAGTTCGTAGACCGTCAAGCCATTGGCACCCAATTTTACCATATGGCGTGAGCACTAGCGAATCTCAGTGGGTGCGTGCTGATGAAGAACCAGTCCCAAACTAGAGTGATGAAACATCTGTCCAGTACTCTCAGGTAGAGATTTTCTAATGGTCCTCTAACTGATGTCAGTTCATGATTAAATCCTGAAACCAGTCAAATCAAATCAAATCGAATTCCTCCAAACCAACACTTGAATAT